ATAATAATAATAATAATTAATAATAATAATAATAATAATAATAATAATAATAATAATAATAATAATAATAATAATAATAATAATAATAATAATAATAATAAAATAATAATAAAAAATAAGACTTTAAAATAACGAAATAATTCGTCATTGATATGTAATAAAAAAAACCGATGGCGGTTCAGTCTTGGCATTGATTTGCTCCTTTGCCGTTTCGGTCAATGCCTGCCGTTTGGTAGTTGACATTGCCGTTTTGGTCTGTTGCCGTTTTGTCCAGAAACCGGTTCAAACAGTGATAGGGGTACTTAGAATGGGGGAGAGATAATAAATAAGATATGCTTCAATGAGGTTAAAGAAGCAATGAAGTCTGATGAAATTTGTTAAATTGGATTAAATCATAATCGGCTACTTTAACATGGAATAAAATCAAATTATACTCCAGAGGGTTATTTTATATTTATTAATAGCATAAAATACCAATATTGTGAATTTAGTTTAATTTACATTGACCTGCCTAAGGGAAAGAGAATCATAAGTTGAAACTTGAATTGAATACTTTAATCCACACAAATACCCGAAAAAAAAATCATCAGGCCTAATATTCAAAAACTGAAAAACATTTAAAGCTTGTTTTTGTTGTAGAGCACCCTCTATAAAAATGGAATACCCTAAAAATGTATACATGGCGGAAAATCAAACCGCTGGACCATAACTTTTTTACTGTGTCAGTTAATTAAGAAATAATTTAAAAACCTGGTTTCAGTCATGTTATATTGTATACTTGAAGGATCGCATTTATTATAAGACCACGTTACTCATTATGATGGACTCCACTACAGGGGAAGATCCAACTCTTCCCATTAATTTTGACGAAAGGTAAGTCTACGCCTAGGCCTAGCCTTAGGCTAGGGAGTCCTGCCTTAGTTAGGTAGTAGAAGGCTAGCCTGACTGGGTGGGCCTCAAGGAACAGGCCAATTATAGGCCTACGTACTGATTAGCTAAGGCCTAGGCCTACTTGATGTTGGACAGAGGAGGCCTAAAATCTGCTGTTATCTAGGTCTATTGGGTTATACAGTTAGTAATTAGGTCAGAAAGATACAACAGTTTGTAGCCTAGTAGGCCTAGGCCTAAACACTAAACCATACGACATAGGCCTAGTCATAGCATGCCATATGCCTAGGCTGGATTATGACAGGTTGAGCCGCCAACAAGTTGAGCTGCCGGTTTTCTATGAAACGCCAAACACGCGTCTCAGTGTTTGTAGTGCGTTAATTGCGGCGTATTTCAATTAACTTATTACAAATAACGAGAGACGCGCTTGGCGTTTCATAGAAATGACCGGCGGCTCAACTTGTCGGCGGCTCAACCGGTCATATGCTCACAGGCCTACCTAGGCTAGAGGCAAACAAAGGATATTCAGCTGTTTGCCGGGTGAATAAAAAAAACAGTTATTCACCCGTCGGCCGACTCAGTCAGTAGTTATTTGAAAATATTAAAAATAACCTCTTACATAGTAATAAATCCAATACGATCAGGATCAGGAATAATTTTATAATATCTAATATTCATGTTGGGGGACAATGAGCCGCTGATGCTGCTCCTAATATAGGGCGTGAACTCTCACAGGGGCTGTGAACTGAATGGCATGAATAGGCCAACCTTAACCCTAAAAATAACCTCTCACGTGTGTTATAATACCTATTATAAGTCAATCGTGACGTCATCACTGCAACTTCCAATGTTATTCGCCTATTCCCCACCGTCCACTAATTTTACAATTAGTGGACGCTTGGCTTGATTTTTTTAGGTTCATGTGGAAAAAAAAGATTCCTCATTTTTTCGTCACCGTGATAAAAATTGAATTGTAATTGCAAATTACTTTCGTAAAGCAAGGTTAATTAGAACCCGAAGAAAGTTACTTTAAATTCAATATAAAGTATGAACAATTCAGCAATTCCTTGAATCAATGAACCCTAGTAATCCAAACAAACTGAACATTTAATAGGAATATTCTAGACCCAATTTAAAGACTCGAGGAACAAAATTAGATGTAGAGGCCGAGGCCTCCTCCTACTACTAGCCTAGGCTGTATAGCCTAGCGTAGTTATGAAATCATCCCAAGATTTTTACCTGTCTGCACCGACCAAAAAGTTAGTGACAGTGACTGTATTCTCTCTCGAATGCTTTAAAAAATGTTTATTTCTTTGACAAATGTGAAAAATTACAAACAAGTTCTTCTAACACAATAAAAATTACAAAATAGCCTAGGCCTAGTTATTCGTCGTATCCCTACAGTTATACTGCTGATGAGTAGCATACGCACAAAATATAAATACACAGTATACCGATCATATCACTATACCAACCGATGACTGGTACAATACAGTTGGTTATAAAAACTAACAAAAAATTTACTAATTGCTTAATATCACCTATTACCTAATACCTAATAAATACTGAAGTCGTCCAAGGACCTAGTCGGCGTCGGACGACAGTGGTGTCCAGGCCTGTCCAACAGCGGAGCTAATGCCCCCTGCCTCCCGCTGGCGCCACCACTGCTCTCAAACATTGTTATTTTAATAACCCTGAATATCTGCTGTGGAAAATATAGGTATTCATTTTAATATGAATATAATCCTAAAATATCTGATAATACTTTTAGGAATTCTTTCAAAATGCTTTCTCAAGTGTAAAGATTCTAGCTTGGTGCTTAGTATTTGTTGCTTGTAATTGTATCGTTAACATCCCGTTTTGTTTGAATAGAGCTATTCTTGTGGTTAAGTCTACAGTAGATCAATAAAAGCATTTATCTTTTGTTATAACACCTCTTCAGTTTTATGTTTTGGAAATTTACTTTTGTTCCAAATGAATGTGTTATTCTTATTGAAATTAATGATAATATAATGCAATTTATTGTGCATACAGTATTTCTAAAATTGGTATAAGCAATAATTTATTTCATGACTTATTTTTACTTTTACTCAGCTAAACATACCATTATACCATAAAATTCAACAGCAGGAAAACAAGAAACAAAACTCTAACGTAATATATACAATATATTTTTAAAATGAATTGACTATCAATTGAATGTTAGATAAAAAATCATTAGATTGAACTTCAAAAGTAAAATAATATTTATTTATTTTTTAGGAACATTTGTGACTAGGCATATTTTTTGTATGCAGTTTAGTGTTGTCAGTACTCCTTGTTTTCAATCATTCCAAATTTACAGTAAATCAAAAATAGCAATGAAAACCAATGCCAATTTAAACTAGTGTTGACAAACAAAACAGCCTGTGCCCTGGTACAGAAATCACCCCAAAAAACAAGTACTACAAGTGCGAATTTTCATCAGTTGTGTAAATTTATAGAACCTTGAATTAATAGGTGGTTATTGCAAAACTTGTATATAGATATAAGCCTGTCTCTTATACACATCTAGATGTGTATAAGAGACAGAATAATAATAGTATTATAATAACAACAACAACAATACAACATACAAATTCAATAGTAAGAAAGATTAGGGGAACACAATATAATATATACAATATAAACCATTGAACATTTAAATAATTAAAACCTTAAAATACAGATAATATGAGGCTAAACAATTTATGTCATGAAAGTAAAAATCGGGAAAGAATAATAATAATAATAATAATAATAATAATAATAATAATAATAATAATAATACCTTATAGTAAACAAAAATTTATTTTGTAATAAAATCAGATTATTTAACATATTAAGAATGGTATTATTTACCTAATAAACATCACAGAAAATTGTCTTAAGCAAAATCATGATTGCTTGGATGTTAATTGATTTGACCCAGTTAATAAATACTCTAGTACTTAATAAAAAAGGCATATTAAACCAAGAAAATTATGAAATGCATTTTATGCATTATGGGTATCTGGAAGTGTTTTCACATCCTCCCAGCGACCATCAAACATGCTCCATTTTCTATGTATGGTTGCCTTTGAAATGAATAGCATGGTTTTTTTTCTTTAGATGTTAATTGCAATGGTGGCGCCAGATGTTTGCCAACAAGGGGTCCGACGTGTCTGATGCAGGGGTCCAAACCAAAGCGACGACAAAGCCTCGGTCGATACCCCGAAACCAAAAAAATATCTGTTGGGGTTCTTGAAGGGAGTTTTTATGGCTTAGTTTAACCCTAAATGTGTTTTTAGACCACAATATTAGGGATTGGCAATCAAGATAGCGTTATTTGGATTGGAAAATTATTATTTAAAAAAAATTTTGGTCCGACGACCTATTCGTTCGTCGAAAGACAGGGGATCCCGGCCTTCCAACAAAGAAAATTCCCCCGCCCCTTCCCCCACCCTGCTGACGCCTCCGCTGGTTAATGGCATAGTGAATAGTATACAGTATTTAAATGTTGAAATCAAGATCTACTGAATGATAAACTACAGCTTTATGTATTTAAAAGATTTTACCCACTCAGCTTCCAACTACTTTGGTTACATGGTTTAATATACCCAATTTGGTGGTCTATTATGAAGCAAATCATTGTTATTTTCAAATAAACCACTATATGTCCTTAGAACCAGGCCCATGTCTTTTGTCATTTTAATTTTGTTTATGTCATGGAATTGCCCAGATAATAATGGTGGTACAATACAACAACGCTGGCTTAGATGCCTATGTTACGTAATCGTGTCCTTATAATCTGAGCCGACTTTACCGTTAAGCAAGTTAATTTACCGTTATTCTAGTAAAGTTAAGTCACTTAAGTTACTTAATTCCTTTATCTAGCTATAATTGAGTGGTTCACGTCGAACTTTTAACTAGTTAAGTGGATGTATATCTAGATAAAAGTTCGACGTGAACCATGCTATAGTGTTTATAATTACCATAGTCATCAGCCTATTGTAGGCCCCAAAAAGTCTGAACTGGCATCACAGTTAAATTCCTTGGTAATTATGTAAGAATTGACTCTAACATCCTCCTTCAGTATGTAATGAAAGTGGATTTCTAGTTAGTATTGCCTTTTCATTAGTATGTTAGAGTTATTTTAATTATTATTGGCTTATAGCCATTATGGTTTAAATTCCTTTTAACCTGCTTTCTATAGAGTTATTTATAAAAAATACATTATATTTCAATTCACATTTAACAATTGAGAAGCCAGTTTTGGTCATCCTCCTACAGTATGTAAAGAAAGTGGATTTCTGGTTAGTATATGCCTAGTCACAAATGTTCCTAAAAAATAAATAAATATTACTTTACTTTTGAAGTTCAATCTAATGATTTTTTATCTAACATTCAATTGATAGTCAATTCATTTAAAAAATATATTGTATATATTACGTTAGAGTTTTGGTTTAATTTTGATTATTATTAACTTATTGCCATTTTTATAAAAAAATTTCCTTTTTATCTGCTTCCTTTAGAGTTATTTAAAAATAAATTATACAGTATATCAATTCACATTTAACAATTGTGAAACCAGTTTTGGTCATGAGTAAAAAAATCCTAGATGCAGTAGCTGAGAATAAACAAAGGACCATGGGATTGCTAAGCCTCACTTTAAGGCTTAAGTGGAGCTGTTTTTGGTTGTGAGAAAAATCCTGTTTTTGTTATAATCCACCAGGACCTAGAGATTAGAAGATAAGCATTATTTAGAAAATAAAAAGATGGTTTATTTTGATAAACACCATATTTAGTCTTTGATCTTTTGTTTAAATTTTTAAAATGATTATATTTGTATAACTTTTGAATACCAAGCAACAGGTCCATAATACACGGATATAATGTGTGATAGTTCATTTGTATTATCTTTAATTTTTGCATAATTTTTAGATTTTTAAATAATAATATTTTCACAAAAGTACGTCAGGTTAACT